TTCCCCCATTTTTACTTCCCCGCGTCCACTTCGCCTCTCCTTCCTTCCTTCCTTCCTTCCTTCCTTCCCTCCTTCTTGCTCCAACCAGTACCACCAGGGTGTCGATATTATTGGCATCGAGCACAATAATTACAGGATGAGTTGCGGGTTTAGAGAGAGGAGAGAGAGAGGGATGTGATCGATCGACGATCCTCCCGTTCGAATTATTTCGAAGGAAAATCGAGCCTCGGCCAATTTCAACTTTTAACAAACTACCAAGCCGGTCACGTCTCTCAAAGTGAGTGAGAGAGTGAGAGAGAGAGAGAGAGAGAGGGAGAGAACGGTTCAACGAACGGAAGGAACTTGCTTGGCCGCGAAACTCGCCGCGGCAACGACTCCAGACTCCCCCCACCCTTTCCCTCCCCCGATTAAATGAAATTTTAAGTCCACAATTCCCCTTTTCCACTACCTTTTCTTGTTTGCAAATGTTTTTAAACGTGTTTCCATACCGGTGTTCGATGTTTACGGGGGGAGAGAGGGGAAATTCGCGGTTCGAGCGTTCGACCAACCGATTAGGGGAATGTAGGGGAGGGGAAGGGAGCGGATGGATGCGTTCCATCTCTTTATCTTTCGATCGCGATAAATTTACGAGCTTCCGTGTTTTATTAATTCAACCGAACCGACCGCTTTCTTTTTTCAGTTGCTTTAATCAAATTACGTTTCTCTCTTTCTCTCTTTCTTTCTTTCTTTCTTTCTTTCGTTTCTTTTTTAATTAGCGCTATACGCCGTTTTTATGAAAGTTACGGACATACGTAACGAAAAGAGTGTTGCTATATTGAACGGGACGCTTTGTGTATTCATTTTATTTGTACGTATATATGTGTGCATATATTTAACTTTTATATATTTAACCCGATTAAAGGATAAACTTTCGATTAACGAAATTACGTGCGTGAATCGTACGTAAAAAAAAAAAGAAAAAAAGTGTAATTCTCGTTCCATTTCCCCGACAAATCGCGTACGAACGATTCGCGAATTTCGTGCATTATTAAAATTGACAATTTTTTTTGTTTTGTCCGTGGTTTCGTTCGAAATGAGTAGTCGCGATTAAAAAAAAAAAAAAAAAAAACTACGCCAGTCTATTAATAAGCGCGGTGCACGAGTTTCGTTACCTCGATTCGGAGGGGGAGGGATATTTCCCTCGTTCGAGAGAGAATTTCCACCTGTTTAACAGGTACTACTTGTTTCGTATTTAGCTTCAGCCAGATCGAACAATGAGCACCTCTTACGATCTCGAGCCTCGGATTATACGAGACCCTTATTAAAATTTACATAATGGAGATAACAACGGAGATAACGCGTTGAAAGGGAAGGAGGGAGGGAGAGAAAAAAAAGAGAGAGAAAATTCAGTGGGGAGTGAGAATATTTGTTAGAATCACTAATAAGGTGATTGCATCGTGTGGCAATCAGTGATTTGAATGGCGTAACGAGGAACAAAAGTTTGAAAAAGGATTTAATTATATCTGTTATTTCATTGATTATCCATCCTCCCCCTCCCCCGATTCCTTTGTTTCCGTTCAAACAATCAACCCTCTGACGTTTTCACGGTTGTGTTGTGCAAAATGATTCTCACTTTCCAAGTTTTTAATTAAAACAACCCGACAACCAACCCAACAACACCCCCCTCCTCGTTCCTTATTAATTTCGTTTCTTTTTTCTTCTTCTTCTTCTTCTTCTCCTTCTTTTCCTATTCCTCGATAAATTCCAAGCATCTTTTTCTTCTCTATCACCTCTCCAACAACGACAACTTTCAGCGACGTAAATTTATGCAGGGAAGATATTTCGGGGCAGAAATTCGAAAGTCGAGACACCGATCATCATCCCCCTTCCCCCGGATGTCAGCCCCCTCCTGGATATCTTAACGCATTTTCGATCGATCATCCCATTTCGCTCGAGCGAGACACATTACGCTACAACATCCTCTGGTGGTCCTTCCAAGGATATAGGTCCTCGAAAATAAAAAATATAAGGATAAAGAAAAAAAAAAAAGAATCACGTTAGATTTCAAATATACAGAGAAACTAGATACAATTAAATTTATTTAACAGCTTTTCACGCGCGATTGATTGAAAATATTTCTCGAATGATCTTGAAAATTAGAAAATAAAAAATATAAGGGTAAAGAAAGATACAACGAAATTTATTTAACAGCTCTTCACGCGGGATTGATTGAAAGTATTTCTCGAATGATCTTGAAAATTAGAAAATAAAAAATATAAGGGTAAAGAAAGATACAACGAAATTTATTTAACAGCTCTTCACGCGGGATTGATTGAAAGTATTTCTCGAATGATCTTGAAAATTAGAAAATAAAAAATATAAAGGTAAAGAAAGATACAACGAAATTTATTTAACAGCTCTTCATGCGGGATTGATTGAAAGTATTTCTCGAATGATCTTGAAAATTAGAAAATAAAAAATATAAGGGTAAAGAAAGATACAACG